CTGGTCCTGGTCTGGTTTCAGGTGTCGGACTCTCTGAGGAGGGAGCAGTCGTTCTTGTGGCAGTTCCGTTCGCTGCAGCTCTCTCTTCTTCTCTGCTCCTTCGTCGCCGTCATCGGAGGCGCGTTCTTTTTGGCCACGGCGCTTTTCATCGAGACGGACCGGAAACGCGCCGAGAACTACGACCCCTCAGGTACGGACGCCGTCGTAGGGACCCACTATCACAGGACGGCGTCTCGCAGGACGGCGTCTCGCAGGACGGCGTCCCGCAGGACGGCGTCCCGCAGGACGGCGTCCCGCAGGACGGCGTCTCGCAGGACGGCGTCTCGCAGGACGGCGTCTCGCGTCACGTCGCAGTGTGAGTCAGATGAGCCTGTGATTCTGATCTGACTCACACTCAGTCGAACAGAACGAACAACAAACACAAACTGTAAACGTGGCAGAGGAGGTTCAGTGCAGTGAGCGCCTCCTTCAGGCAGATATAAGGCAGGACCAGGACCAGGACCAGACCGGGACCAGACCGGGATCAGACCGGGTCTGATCCCGGTCTGGTCCCGGTCTGATCCCGGTCTGGTCCCGGTCTGATCCCGGTCTGATCCCAGTCTGGCTTTTCCATTTTTTTATTTAAACACAAAATCCAAAATTGAAAAAACAAATCATTATCTGTTTTTTTTCATTTTGTTTTTGGAGATAAATAATGAAGAAAACTGTTGTTTTTTCATTTTCTTATTTTTGGTTTTATATAAAAAAACGACACACGATTATCGAGCAGCTCTAGTGTGCGCTTTTTGTCGCACGTTTAAAAATCGCTTAAGACCGAAAAATCCTGTAGTGTGTGGCGAACTGTAGACATTTATTTATTTATCATTTTCTTTTGTCTAAAAATAATTACACCTTAAAGATTTTAAATTTCCTCTTTTTTTTATTTGTGGGAGGCGAGAGCTGCCGTCTGACCCGAGTCTCTTTCTCTTTCAGATGATGAACCCATCGTCGTCCCGAAGAGCGGCCGGTCCACCAGAGTCCCAGTGTCCAGCGTCCTCATCTGACCCCTGACCCCACCTGACCCGCGCCAAAGCTCTCGACAACTTTTACTCTTTTAAATAACTCTGGACATTTTATTACTCATTTTTAATTCTTCGTTTAAGCATCTGCGTGGGAAGGACAGTCGGTCGGAGGTGGAGACGTGACGTGGGCTGATCCGGGACCAGCCCACAAATCTTTTTTTTTTTTAAACACATTTTCATTGTTTTAATTCATAGAAAATCTCCTAATTTTTGCCAAGTTTTAACACATTTTTGTTCTGTCTTTAATCTGGTGTGAAGGGTTTGTCTCCCTCTGCTGGTGGAGTTTATAAATGAACAGTTCATTATAATTAAAGCATTATTTTATTGTTTTTTTTGTGTGAAATATTAAAGTTGAATTTGTATCAGTTCAGTTTCATCTTGTGGTTTCAGACGGATGGAAAAAAAAAAAGAAATGCAAATCTGACCCAAGTTTTCAGTGAGGAAACGAGATGTTTGTAAAGTTCCACAGTGCGGCTTTGAATCTACGGATACTGTTCTACATGTACCTCTATGGCAGAATGTTCAGCGGTTACGATGGTGATTTAAAGAGCACATTTTTATTTCCCCGTGATCAGTGTGAACGTTCATGGTCCTGTGTAGAAGTTTGATTTTTAACTCAAAGGAGAGAGCGACTCACTGAAAAACTGTGATGTTATTTGTTTTAGAGTCAAAGAAAAATAACAAAAGAACTAAACATGACTGAAATAATCACGTTTGGCGCCGTGGGGACGTGGTTTACACAGGAAAATAAAACAAACTCAATGTTCAGATCCAGAGCTGCATTTTACAACGTTAATTCCAAGTTTTGCACCAAAACACGGGACTCGTGTCTCTGTGCGATGCTCATGTCTCTCATGTCTCTCATGTCTCCATGCGATACTTGTGTCTCTCATGTCTCTGTGCATGTCTCTTTGCGATGCTCCGAGCGACTTTGCGGCTCCTGCGTGCGCGTGCCCGTCGACATTGACGGGAGCGCGCACGCAGCTGTCAGTAGGAAATGCGGGCGGCTGGAGGTGGACGCGCTCTGCCGCTGAGCTCCGACCCAGAAACCGCCCCGAAAAACAGCCCGAGAACAGCCCGAACACCGTCCGAACACAGCCCTCCGCCCCGGGCCGCGCTGTCCCCGAGGCTCCGGTGCTTCGGCTGCGGTCGCCCGGACTCCACAGGAGGCGGGAGTTTGTCGTTTTCACCGCGGCTAACGTCAACAGAGCTAATGCTAACGGGCTAAATTAGCTCCGCGCGCTAACCGCCGCTAGCCGAGCTCCGGACGCGCGCTTCCCCCGGCGCGGCGCTCCCCTCCCCGGCCTCCGCGCTGACATTTCCCGCGGGAGGTCACGGAGCGGAGGGAGCTGTGGCGGGGCCCAGGGGCGAAGAGGAACCGCTGCCCGGGCTCTGTAGGCCGGACGGACCGCGCTGACAGCCCCGCCGCGCCGCCGGAGGTGAGTCTCTCCGCGGGCTGGAAGTTTTTGGGCCGGGCCCGGGACGGAGCAGCGGGGCGCGGGGGGAGGGACAGGCCGAGGACGAGCTGCTCCGCCCGGGCCTCGCACACGGAGGAAGGAGGGAGGAGGGTGGAGGCTCCTTAGTCATCTGGACACTGTCAGCCCCGTGTGATTCTGTTTTATTCACTAATGTCCTCACCCCACGCCTCTTCACGGGACTTTGTGTCTCTTAAAACACTTTGCAAAACCATCAAATAAACATCTCAAAGCTGCAACAGCGTAAATAAAACCACTATTGTTTTTTTTATCTGTGCATTTTCCTCCTGTATCCAGTTAATTTTATATTGTGCATAGAGTGACCAGATTTTCATGATAAAAAAGTGGTGGTTGGTAATTAGAACTGTGCAGAAATATCCAAATATTGCTGCTGTATCGTTTAATTTTCATTATTTTATTTGATTTGATTCAGTATTTTAGTCAATTGAGAAAACCTTCTGATTTACAGTGACGACCTGGACAAGAGGCAGAATAAAACAGAAGCACAAACAAACAGAACATGAAACAGTGAATAGAGACGTAAGACACTGAAACATTTGCAGATTTAAGATTTAAAAGTGTAAAAACGTGTGTAATTATCCTGTAAAATGCTCTGGATGGAGTTTTTAAAAGTCGACAGAGGTAAAAACGAACTAAGTGATGATTCAGTATCGATATTTTGGGCTGCTGTGTCGATATATCGCAGAGACAAGAGTATTTTTTGGTTTATTTTACTAAATGATTTCGTTCCAGCTCCAGTTTTGTTGTTTGTTCAGAGGAAGGAAACTCGTTCATGCGACACATTTGACATTTTCACTGGTTTTTGCCGATTAAAATGTTTGTTTCATTTGAACTTTGCACAAGAAGTGATTTAACAAAGACTTTTAGAATCACAGACATGATTTAGACTTTATTTTTTATTGAACCGTATTAAATCGATTTGAAATATATCGTATCGAATCGAGGTGTGTATCGTATCGGCAAATTCTAAATGATTCTCAGCTCTATTGGTAATAATAAAATTGTCAAACGACTCTGTTCTGCACTTTGCACTAATGTGAGTCAGTACAGTTACTTTTTCTTTGTGTTTTGGTCGTTTTTTAAGCAGCTTTTCTGTATTTTACCCAAACAAATTACAATTTTTGCCTCTCAGTCAAATCAGATTGGTCAAAAATAGAGACACGTGGGACATTTCTTGTATGAAACGGTGATAAATCAGTGGTTTTGTATAAATTTGCCGGGACAGGAGGGGACACGGGCTCAACACTGGGTCTGTCCCGGGTAAACTGGGTCTGTCTGTTCACTCTGGTTTTTCAGTTTTCTGTAGATTTGCCTTTGGGTCCAGGAAGCGGCGCGTCCATCTGTGTGTAAACCACACACCACATCAGCCTCACGCCCTCTGTTCAACTCTTCTATCACACTTCCTCATGTTTCATATCATTTTTTTACTTGTTTCATTCATGAAAGATGAATTCAGTAATAATTATGTTGTTATGATGTGTATCTGCCCAGTTTTCACACAAACTAAAACATGTCTTTATTTATTTACTGTTGATGCTTTTATTTTGTTGGCATCAATTTAAAGAGAACAACAACAACAACAAATCTGACAATTAACATAAATACATGATTCATAAACTATTATTTGTCCTGTTTTTGCTGCATGAACAAAAGGAACAGGAAGAAATTAACTTTTACTAACAATTTCTTTAATAAACATTCGCCAAACCAAGTCCCCAGTGAGTCTGTATGTTACAACAACATCTCTCTCTCTCTCGTGCTTTTCATTCACTTTAAACATTTTCCTCGGTCACGTCGTCCATCGTTATTTTATCTTTGCACTTTTTCTTAAATCCTGATTTTAAAAGTCGCTCTAGTTTTTCTAAATTTAACAAGTTCCACGTCTTCACTCCAGACGCAGAGACACATTTCTAACTAGGGCTGGTATCATTAAGAAGTTGCCGATACGATACACACCTCGATACACAGGCCACGATACGATACACACCTCGATACACAGGCCATGATACGATACACACCTCGATACACAGGCCATGATACGATACACACCTCGATACACAGGCCATGATACGATACACACCTCGATACACGGGCCACGATACGATACACACCTCGATACACAGGCCATGATACGATACACACCTCGATACACGGGCCACGATACGATACACACCTCGATACACAGGCCACGATACGATACACACCTCGATACACAGGCCACGATACGATACACACCTCGATACACATACGATACACACCCGATACACAGGCCATGATACGATACACACCTCGATACACAGGCCATGATACGATACACACCTCGATACACGGGCCACGATACGATACACACCTCGATACACAGGCACACGATACGATACACACCTCGATACACAGGCCACGATACGATACACCTCGATACACAGGCTACGATACACACCTCGATACACGGGCCACGATACGATACACACCTCGATACACAGGCCACGATACGATACACACCTTGATACACAGGCTACAATACGATACACACCTCGATACACAGGCCACGATACGATACACACCTCGATACACAGGCTACGATACACACCTCGATACACAGGCTACGATACGATACACACCTCGATACACAGGCTACAATACGATACACACCTCGATACACAGGCCATGATACGATACACACCTCGATACACAGGCTACGATACGATACACACCTCGATACACAGGCTACACAATACGATACGATACACACCTCGATACACAGGCCACGATACGATACACACCTCGATACACAGGCCACGATACGATACACACCTCGATACACAGGCTACGATACACACCTCGATACACAGCCATACGATACACACCTCGATACACACACACGATACACACCTCGATACACAGCTACGATACACACTCGATACACAGGCACGATACGATACACACCTACGATACACACCTCGATACACAGCTACGATACACACCTCGATACACACGATACGATACACCTCGATACACACACGATACGATACACACCTCGATACACACACGATACACAGGCCACGATACGATACACACCTCGATACAGTGAACTTTCGATTTGATATGATATATTTCAAACCGATTCAATACCATTCAATAAAAACAATCGCTAAATCACTAAAAGTCTTTGTTAAACCACTTCTTCTTGTGCAAAGTTCATATGAAACAAAAACATTTTAAGCATCAAAACAGTGAAAATGTCAAATAAAATCTAGACAAGTTAAGATGACTTGAATTAAGTTTTGTCATGATTTGAGTCAATTCCTCTTGACAAGTTAAATTATCGATCAGCGGTAAACGATGTCTTGTATTTAAAATCTGACGATACAACTTGTGACGTTAAAAAAAGAAAAACAACAACCCTTAAAAAAAAAGAAATGAAATCGAATGTCGCTTGAATTTATAAAAACACTTATTCCACTGGTGGAGTCGACTCAAATAAAGTCAAATGTTCGTAATTTTCATTTTAATGAACCTTTTTGCCGTGTGACAGAGTTTCCTTCCACTAAACAAACAACAAAACTGGAGCTGGAACAGAATCATTTAGTAAAATACACCAAAAATACTCGATACGCGATATATCGATACAGCAGCCCACGATATTGATACCGTATCATCACGTTAAACGATACGATATATCGATATTTCAATATTTTGGTACACCCCTATTTCTAACACTTAAACGGTTCCAATGGCGTTTATAAGCGACTTATTTACTCGAAGTGTCACGACGTCCAAGTCTCACGATACGATATGAACCTCACGGGACGATATTTATTGCGATATTGTGGGAAAACTCACGATTAAGAATGTAACAATATCCAAATCTCTGTACGATATTTTCATAATAAACATGTCACCGTACGATATTTATTGTGATATTTTGTGGATTCAAAAAACTGTTAATACGCAACTTCTTCCTCTTAACACTTCAACACTTAATCAAAAGAAGTAAGACTTAAAAGTAGGGATGGGCACGATTAGTCGATTAATCGATAATTGATCATTAAGAATTTCATGGATTCCGTTCATTTTACTGGACAAACTGAATGTATGTGTGTGTGTCGTGACCAAACAGGTGTGTACATGTGTCTCTGCATCAGAAGGAGCGACACACAAACAGTGGGTCAGTCTGTAACGAACCGAAGCACAAATGTGGATTTAACCAGGATTTGTAGAAGAAATTCCACACTTTCCGTTGCGTTGGGACAAGTGTGAGTCCATGTGCACAGTGGATAAAGCAGCACATATGTTTCTGTGTCCAGTGGGAAAAAGTTTTTCCAGGTGAGAGTCGCTCAATGTGGATGACGAGGCCCCGCCCCCCTCCCCCCGTACGCTGTCCTGGTTTTGAGAAACACAAATCTGGTCACACTGACCTGTATTCACCTGAGTCATGTCTTTTATTCCAACACAAGTTGAACCACATCAGCGACACAAGAGCTGGAGTTTTATCTTCACTTAGTTTATGTAAATTAGTGATGTGGTTTTAAGTTTTGTTTCTGTGAGATTTGAACAAAACTGAATTAAACACATTATAATGTCAAACAGCTGATGTGGATCTAGAGTCGTTATGTTTATATGTCGTAAAGTTGAATTTATTGATGCAGATTAGTGCAGATAGTAATAATAATGATGATCATTTTAATAGAAAAACATTCATGATTAATCGATAATCGATCGTTAATTCTTCCGATGATCGATTAAGAACATTTCATCGAATGCCCACTAATTTGCACATTTTGTTAAATCCTGATTTTAAAAGTCGCTCGTGTTTCTAAATTTAACAAGTTCCACGTCTTGACTCCAGACGCAGAGACACGTTTCTAACACTTCAACGGTTCCAACGACGTTTATCAGCAGCTTATTTACGAGAGGTGGAACAATATCCAAGTCTCTCGATACGA